TATAAATCAAGAGGCAGCGCCCAGCCATTCATTCATTCCTGCGTGAGCCATGCGGAAGCGCTGCCACAGCGACTTGTGCAAGGAGGTCTGCAGATGAGCCCGGAGGACGCAGTGGGCAAGAGAGGAGGAGTTAGCATAGCGATAGGTCAGAGGCAGCCATAGCTGCCATAGCTATAGTTAGTAGTGAGTGTGTGTGTGTGCTCGAGTGTTAGAGTGATGCGTGTGGGATATCCAGGGTGATCCAGTGTATGTGAACAGTGAGATGTTTGTGCGCTGAGGTCGCCATAGCCAATTGGGAGTGAACTCATATCTGAAAACCATATCTCTGAGTTTTGAGTGGGCGCATGTCGCCAGTGTGCTGCGTTACTGTTTACATGTGTGAAAAGTGTGTTTGAAAACGAGTCTGATTGCAATACAGACTATACATTATATACGGTGTGCTCCGTGTATAGACTACAACGCCACTATATATATACTATGTACTGACACCTATGCAGGCGATCTATAAACTACATGTATACACTGACAGTGTACAATGTGCATACACTTCGTACAGACTATACAATGTAGTATTAGACTATATAGACTAAGTATAAATATAGACTATGTAGACTATGTATAACTATGTATAAACTAATTGTATACTATGTACTGACACCTATTATACACTATGGATACCGACACAGTGACACCCACATACTTCAAATGATGTACACACTTTGTATAGACTATAGACTATTGGCTATGCATAGGCCATATTGCAATCACCCGGGTTCAGATCCAGCACAGAAATATGCATCCAAAGTCTTAGTCAAGGTTAGGCATGAGAAAAAATAGGACTGTTGGGTCCCAGAGTCCATCAGAATGGCCCTCCGTCCTACAGAATATAGTCTAGTCCATATCACGGTTGAAGTGCACGTGCTACAGTGACTTGCTGCAGTGACGTGGTACAGTGAGTGCAAGAGAAGGCAGACGGTGAGAGTGCGAGGCTGCCATGGTGAGAGTGAGAGAGCGTGGTAGCCATAGTAGTTGGTAGAAGGTGCTGATGTGCCATAGATGCAAGAGAAAGAAGAAGAGAGATGACGCATAATCGTCTGATGAGTGAGTGATGGGGGACCGAAGGAACGCCAGTGTGATGATAAGGATGCAGACACGCACTGCGAGCAGCGAAGGAAAATGTGCTTCCGATTGGTTAAAAAACCTCCAATCCATTTGTGATTTATATAACTTTGACATGTTTCTTTTGCCATTTTCTGAATTATTTGATTGTTTTGTGGATTAGTATTTACAAATAATATATGACCATTTGATGATTTGAACGAATTGTATACTCAATGTAATTACAAGCTCTTCGTAAAAAAACAAGTGTTCTTTCTAAATCAATAATAGCGATTTCAATCACTGTGTTTCCAGGTAGGCAACAAATGATGCAATCATGGTGTAGCGCAGCGAGACGTAACCCATAACCTGACACACCTGACTCAGACTCAGACTCAGACTCAGACTCGGCTCACACACACATCATCACACATGTCGCCCAACAAGGAAGGGGCCAGGGTCATACACAGAAGAAAGGTCCCTCCTTGGAGTCCTTGCGCACATACATGGGGAAGAAAGGCACAGATGATGAAGGGGGAGGAGAGATGAAGATGGAGAGAGGAAAGAGAAGACAAAAGAGTAGAACTCGTAGTCGTCAAAAATAGTCTCCCCGCCACCAGCAGGACTGAATGATGTCCGCTGCTGGGCACTGGTCCAGCTATATGGCGCTGGACCTGGCCCTGTGTCCCACGGCCCATGATCAGGGCCGTCCAATCGGATGTCGATCGATGGTCCTGATAGTAGGCTCAAGTCCTGGTCCTATGCATATGGACAAGTCTGAATCTGGCATCCAAAACAGCCTGTCCACGAATCTGCCCCTGGCCTAATACGGCCCATCTGCAATCCACTCGTCCCATCAGGCACTGCCTGTTTGCCATTGGACAAGTCGAAACTCTGAAATAGACAAAAAACAGGACAGACCAAAGTCACCAAACTCAAGAAAAAAAGTGAATAACAATAAAGTAAATATCAAAAGGACAAAAGTGAGGGCCTGGCCCACAATGTGACCGTGGGCCTCCAGGTCGTGCAACAGAGGGGTCTGCGCGGTGTGGGGGCCGGGAAAAACTGTCGGGCCCAAAGGGGCCCAGGTAGAGTCCAAAGCTTAGGGGGAAGAGGAAGGGTACCTGGAGAGTGTGTCAACTCGGAGTGTTTATTAGAATTTGGTGTATATTTAGTTAGCGACGGAACCAATCGTAGGGCAAGTGGTACCCAATGAT